TTTAAATGCATGACATTACAGTCACCAACATCTAGAGGCTTCTTGCAGGAATATAAGATGTAATCATTTCCCCTTGCTTTATTTTTCTAAAATCTTTTCTTGAATGTTTCTCATCAATTTTCGCAGTAACTCTCAGACTATTACTGATACAATCGCTTCTCTCCCACACAATGAGGAAATCTCCGACCTAGGTAAGGCCCGGTTCACAATTTGTCCTGGATGGTTAGAGCATTCGGATAGTCCATCCAATTTGGCCAAATTTCTCTCTCGTCACTGCCTTGTTGCCTTTGGACCTGACTTTCTTCTGCTCGACAAGCCTGCTGGATTGGCCTCTTGGCGTCGAGTCGATGGGCAACGCCTCTTTAAACCTCCACCTGCACTCTCAAAATCTTCTAAGACTAGTGGACCTCCGGTAATGGTAAGTTTGCTGTCAGGTCTAAATAAATAAATTGAAGTCATAATGATTTGTCAAATCTTCTCTCTCAAAAGCAGTTAAGTGAATCTTCCACACCTATTAGATTTTTATTAAACCTGCAACACCGACTTCAGAGGCAGCTGTAGCCACCACTATTTTACTATGAATTAACTGTTCTAAGACTTTATTAAGTGATGTGGAATAGATTTAAAAATTCCATTTAGTTAAGCATGAGGACTGGTTGGCGCAACTTATACAATCCTAGTAAACTTAAATAAGCTTCATAAAGACAAATTCTAATGTCGATAAGGTTTACGGTATTCCATTAGTTGATTGGTGTATACTGAACCTATACATAAATTTTATACAAATTATTTCATATATTTGGCTCCTATTTATCTAATGATTTCCTAAAGTTTTTAGAATTCAGCACCTCGTTTAGAATCCTAGAAGTACGAGCCCATAGGCGAATGCTTTATTTTGTTGCTCTTTAATTCCTACTTGCATACACTCAGGGTTAATATTGCACAATTTGAATGTGGTATTGACAATGTGATGGAAGTATTGTCGTTCTCATTTATTTTACTTACAATCACTTACTTTAGGCTCCATTGAATCAAACACCAGTGACCATGCTCCAGTTTTAATCCAT